AGTGAAGCAATTATATTTTAATTTAAAATGTATACAAAATTTAAAACAAACATGGCTCTGGGTCCATCCTCACAGTTGAGTGAATGAGCAGAGGTCAACTGGAGAGAATGTTTCACTGCTGTCTTTCTATGGTGAGAAGATGACAGGCCATGGCCCACCCACAGTCCTGTCCTAGAAGGAGCCTAGGAAGACACCTGACTTCTTTCAGAGAATGGTGGAGGCACAGTGGAAAAGGGCAGAGTGGCCAGCTCTGATGGGCATTGCATGGCACACTCTGGGAAGACACCCCTCACCAGTCAACCTTAGAGAACTAGCCACTAAGAGAAAACTTCTCAGTCAAGGTCACATCAACTCCCGGGGTACAAAGGCCCCGCCCTCTTGCTCCAGCTCAGAGCAACACTGAGGAGTCATTCCCAACCCTGAGGTTACTATGGCCCTTGTTTGGTCTGTCTACCAAGTGCCTTCCCTATCTGCTCATGTCTTCTCCCTCTTCCTTCACTTCAAGTCATTTTCACAAGCACTCCCTAGGCTACAGACTGCCCCTGGATCTCCCCCTCAGAGTCTGAGTTCCCAAAACACAGGATGCAATATTGGCAAGTAGTTCTAGATCAGAAATCAGTAAATTACAGGCAGGCTAAGTCTGGCATACCATTTGCCTTTGCAAATAAAGCTTTATTGGCAACAGCCAAATCAGTCACTGCATCACAGTGCTTTCCCACCAGAAACACCAGAGCTGAGTAAATGCCATACAAATCAGAGGGTCTGTGAAGATGAGCACATGCTCCTCTATAAGAGGAGGTGAGGGAAAGAGTGAGAAGGCGAGGAGAAGAAGAGAAAGAAAGGGGAGAGAGTGGAGAGAAGGGAGGAAGAGAAAGGGCAGGAGACAGGAGGGGGAGAAAAGCAAAAAAGAGGGGAGAGAGGAGTGAAGAGAAGAGGGAAGGGAAGGGGAGAGAAAAGGACGAACAAAAGGTTGCTTCAGCAACTCTAGATCATCAGAGGGAGGAAACACACTTGCCAAATGAAGTTTCTTCCCAAGCCTTCCGAGCCCTCTATAAATAAGTCCTGTGGGATGAGAGGGCTGAGTCCAGGAAGCCATCTTCTTCTCAGGTAAGCCTGATGTGTAAATGATGAAGCTAGCTCACTACACACACCTCACACCTGAGAATACAAGCAGATTTGGTGTCCATGTGGTGGCCTGGCAGGGGCTTCTTCCTTCCAGCCATGCAAACTAATGCCTTTAGAGAGGAGGTTCTCAACCTCCCTAATGCTGCGACCCTTTAATGCCGTTCTTCATGTTGCGGTGACCCCCAACCATAAAATTATTTCATCGCTACTTCATAACTGTAGTTTTGCTATTGTTATGAATTGCAATGTCAGTGTCTGATATGCAACCCCCAAGAGGTCACGATCCACAGGTTGAGAACTGCATGTGCACTTGCCGAGGGCCTACCAGTTCAGAAGGCCCACCACAAAGCAGGAACCTAGGCAAGCAGTGTGGGCAGAGCATTCCTTAGTCTTTTCTCCAATATCATCTAACATCATTGCTCTCTATTTACTTGGATGTCTCATGAAGGAAGAGAGCATCAGAACTGGACCACAGTATGAAAGAAACTAGGTAACACAGTGTATCATAATCACACACAGTGATATCAGAACCATTCAGATCAATATTAAAAAAAAAACCCATAGATGGCACAGACACCCAGATTTCAGATAGGGAAAGACCTCTGAGCTGATGAGCTTTAGCTAAATCAACAACACAACTTATTATATCTCATCAGAACCCTATTTGTAGCCCACTGGCTACTACCCAAGGATATGCTCCTAAGCAGTCTTCAAACACCACCTTCTCTGGTGACAGTGGAGAAAGGTCCACGACTGGGCACCACCAATGCCCTGACTACTCTGCCAAGGGCTGTTATTGGCAAGGATGCAACAGGAGCCATGGACATAACGTTGGTACTTAATGGATGCATGGACTTGGGTAAGTCATTTAACCTTCGAGCCTTATTTGTCTTCTCTGAAAGTAGACTTAACTGATACTTTCCCTACAGAATTGTTTAGATGATTTCAAATAGCAGATATAACCCAAGGCCTGGCACTGAGGATTTTTACAACACATATCATGATTATTCATGGTACTGATTAGAACAAGGATGGTAACAGTGATGCAAGTTTACCTCACTACAGGGCCAGAGATTTGTACGATGTTTACCTCTATAGTGCCAGCTGGATGCTCACTAACAGTGAAGAGAAAGCATCAAGGACTAAGGAGGTATGCAAAAAGAGAACCGATTCTTAACCTCAGTCCCAAGGAGAAGCAGGCGCCCATATGTCTGCTGGGATGTTTTGTCCCAGGGGACAGGACTATCTGTTTTTCATGAAGTGGTTGCATGTAACTCATCTCCCCTCATTTTAGGAGTCTTTCTGAGTGCATGCATATCTTTAAGGCTTACTCAATAGTACCATCTGTAGAACTTGCTATCCAATGACTACAGCCAAAACTATCTTGACTCTGTCTACGGACTCTCCCACACAGCATCTACAAAGGCAGCTGGATGTCAGCAAAGTGAGCTCAGAGGGGTTCCTGCTTGAAAAGAGTTTAGATGAAAGGAGTTGGCTTCAGACACTAAGAAGGATGATGCCCATTAATAGTGTGTGTAGCCACAGGAAGCCATCAAGAGCGCCTCAGATACCATTCCAGTTATGGACAGGAAGATGCACAGGTCTTCTGAGTCTTAATGAGCATTGCTACAGTCTGAGAGTACTTGCAGTAAGGCTAACAGGCTCTGTGAGGGTAGCGGCTGAGCTTGCAAGTGCACCCTGGGATGATGGTGTACCCTGTATCAGGATAGACTAGGATCATTAGAACTTGTGGATTGTAGCTAGTACTTGTAAACTTCAGGCAGGAATTCTGTAGCATGCTTTCTCATTATTCAACAAGAAATATAGCCCACTGAAAATTAGTGTAGCTATATGAGTGAGAGAGTATGCAAACCAAGTAAGTACGTGCATGTGTGTGTACACACATATATGTGCATTCATGCACACTGGAGGCACATGTCCCAAACACTAAACTAGCCCCTATTTTAACGGAGCATCACTTTCTAAAAGACACATGGGTCTTTGCTTTCCTTTGGGCCTGAGGGTTAGGAATTATTTCTTTGTCCATCACTTCAATCCTCGATGTTTTCTGTGTTGTTGGATATTAAGGTAGAAACTGCTGAGACTCACATGGTATTCCTTCTGGTGCTGATAGAGAACGGGAAATAAAGTTAAGCTTGAAGATGTTCAAGAGCACTAATTACTGAGTGAATGCTATAAGCTCAGAGCGGTGGTGTCACTGTCCACATTCATTGAGCTAGAAAATAAGAGAATGTGCTCAGGGTTCCTCTGTGGCTTTCTTCAAATGACAGGATGAGACCCTGAGATTTAGAGTCAGGTTCTAAATGTGAGTTTCTACAATACATTACTATTCTGATGGATGTCAGCCCCACAGGAGGCAGAACTAACCTCCTCTAACTCACCTAAGAAAACTCTTTACAGGAACAGCCAGTCTCTTTACAAGCCATAGGGAAGCCACTCTGTTCTGAGATGGGTGTTTGTGATCTGACTCTGATTATTTTTAAAGGGCCTTTGGTGAAATTTTCTAAAAAATCCAAGTGATTATTCTGTACCATGAGACGGAGCATCAAGTCGTGCTCACCACATAATGCAGTTTCTCTATTTCTGGAATCATCATCAATAAGGAAGATGAAGTGCTCAGCTTGAGCAGTTGCCTTAAATACTAAAGTGGAGTTTATCTTTGTAACACAGAACGACTGCTTACATCTTTCTGCATGCAATGAGTCTGTTGATTCAGGCATTTCCATCGTTTAATCAACCCAGAAGCTATATCGAACTTACTTTAAAGTTCTCTCAGCATCCAATATATCTACACTTGTTAAAATTAATTACATCATTTAACATTTCCACATGCATTATAGTTTTAAGTGTTTCACGGTCATTTTTTATTAATTAATAAACGCTTAATGGACAAAAATTCATACTATAAAATTATTATGCATATGCTGCGTTTTCAGTTTTACTATTATTTCTTTTAAATATTTTCCCCAAGTGGAAAGTCCATGACTCATAAACCAGTCACTCTCACAGAAAGTACAACTGAAAATAGAAGTTTACTCAGAGACAGAGAAATCTGTGCCGCTTCCCTCTCTCCAAGACAGACTCACTTCCTCTCCTGAAAGCCAGAGGGTCTCAGGGAAGCCCACCTGGGAAATTCTGTCTGGCCCTGAAATAGCAGAAATAGTAACAAATCCCAGCCAGCATCCTCTAGACACAACCCAGGACACATGATTCCTTTTGCTGCTGGTTGGAAAGGAACATTCCAACTTTCCCATTAGAAAACATGCTGTAATTACCCACCTCCCCAACATGCGCGCGCGCACACACACACACACACACGCACACGCACACGCACACTTATGCCCACATACTTCATTCCATTATAGAACTCAGGTGTAGTTTTTAAATGTCGATGCTAACACATTTATCAATGATGTGATTTAAAAGTAAAAGCCTTAGAATTCTAGACAAACCCCCAATATTCAGATGTTGAACCCCTGAAGAGCTTTTAAAAAAATCTGGGTGTGGGTAGCATTCTATTCTATTCCCCCAGCTCTGGAATGTGATGTGAGCATGCTCTATTCCAGCTGCTATGGGAGCCACTGTTTGCTATGGGTTGCATGTGTGGTCTGGCACTATTTTGTTGGGATAGGGAACTTGAGTGAAGGTCTCTCATTATCTATAAATGTTTCATCTGAGAACATCTTTCTAATCAGACATCAGCACCAACTTATGAGTTGTTGACTTGAGGCAGAGATGACCAAATGCTTGATGCAAAAGATCTCCTGGGATGAGTTGTACAGAAGAAATTCAACAGCACTCCCTTAGCTGAACACTGATATTGGGCACCCTCCAGCAAGTGGACATCTACTCACCTGCCCTGTAACTCCAGCCAGGAATATGGATGGAGAGTTGGTTGGCATGGTTGCTGGTGGGACATGCTGCACAGTCCCCTTTCTCCTTTCTTCTTGGAACCTGGTTCCTTCCCACATCTGCAAATTTGACATTTTCCAGGGGAGGGGAGCCAGTCTGAGGGTATGTGCCACTCCCCAAATGTGCTGGCACCAAGGCTGGACTCTCTTTCCAGTGACCCTCCTGGGGCTGGCCCCATTGTGGACCTAGGAGATCCTGCTTTCCCTCCAAGAGCTCCTGGGGCAGGGCTCTGCTGATTGGCTCTCCATTAGCTGTGCTGTCTACTCCATCTGCTGTTAACCTGTGGGAACTACAGCGGAGGCTGAGAGACAGGACAGACCTGTGCATTTTGGGGCTAGCAATTTGAGGTTGTTCAAGAGGGACAGAAAGAGGCTTGTCCAAATAGTAAATGGCACTGGGACAGTGCTGAGACACCCGGAGATGGACACAGGAGCTGAACATCAGTGGGACTTTTCTTGATGGTGAACTGTCTGAAGAAAAACTGTCCTCTTTGTCATCCATGTGGGTAACCCAGTACTCCTGCCTTGCACACATCCTTGTGTGAGCCTGGGGAACCTTTAGCCCTTCTATGGAGCCATTGCCAGGGAACTCTGTACAGGTGAAGGATCCATTGTGCTGACACAGATGGACACCACTGGCCAGAGCTGGGGCGTCTTGGAGCAGAGTATCCTTGGCCCTGCAATTGGGACACAGTGGGTCCCTAACAGTGTCCCATACCAAGGAGTTGGCTGGAGGGCCCACACGTCTGGCAGTAATGGTGATAGACGAGAACCCTCTGTGGGGGCCTCTGCCTAGGTTGTCTCCTGTGGACAGTGGTTCTATCGCCAGTCCTTGCTCGTCTGATGGAGTCAGAATTCCCAATCTGTCTGGAGCAAATGGCCTGTGCATGTTCACGCCACTGCGCCTGGCCGAAGCTGGTTTCGTGGGACACAGCTGAGGTTGAACGATTGCTTGTGGCAGAGGCAACAAGGCTCCATTTTCCATCGATTTCTTCTCATCAATCAGCTGGGAAATGATGATAGGTGATATCATTTTTGTGTTTTGTGATGCCAATGTCTCCTAAAAAATAGGCAGAAAAATCTGAATTATTCCAGGAGTTCACAGGAATAATCAGTGAATTCTCATGGGTCATGAGATTGCTGGGGAAGGAACACTTAGATTTCTCAGTAAAGCCTTCAAGACACTCTTGCTGTGGGATGTCTTTCTGTATGCTGAGAATGTGTGTGGCTCCCATTGGATAATAAATAAAGCTGTTTTGGCCTATGGCAAGAAAGCTTGCAGCCAGGTGGGAAATTCAAGCAGAGATACAGAGAGAAGGGCAGAGTTGAGAGAGACGTCAACCACTGCCAAAGGAGCAAGAAGATGCTAGCAGACCAGTAACACCATGGCCATATGGCAACACATAGATTAATAGGAATGGGTTAATTTAAGATGAAAGAGCCAGGTAGCAAGAAGCTTGAAGCCATAGGCCATACAGTTTGTAATTAATATAAGCCTCTGAGTGATTATTTCATAAAAGGTTGTGGGACCGTGGGGTCCAGTGGGACGAGAAACTTCAGTCTACACACTCTTGATACCAAATCTGAGCATTCTGAAGAGATGGAAACCTAGGTATGTTTGTGAGGAAGTAGTGTTCTAGACACGTTAGCCTAATCAGGAGAAGGATGGACTCACTCAGCGGGGTGTCAGTCTTAGTTTACTAGCCTTGAGCTCCATTAGTAGAGACCCTCTGACTGTGATAGTTGCTTCTGCCAGACCCCAGAACCTCAAAAAAAAAATCTCACAGCCTCGATAGGGAAGGGAGGCAAAATTATCAACATGGCTGAGAATTGGAGTTGGGGAAGTGATAGGCCATGGGTCAGCACTCTGATGACAGTGTCAGTAAATGTGGTAACAAGGAGTCACCTCCCTAGTTTCTTCTCCCACCATCTTCCACCTTTGCCTCTGGAATTACCAGTTACTTTCAGCTTGCTTGACCTCACAGAAGTCCATGCTCAGAGAGCAAGACAAGGGAAATCAGGTGCCCAAAATCAGTTTCCCAGGCTAGCCAATCAGTTTGGCTTCTCTTACCAGGATGGGGCGTACCAAGATGGATGTATACCAGTATACAAAGTATAGGTGTAGCTCGATGCTATTCTGTGAGGAGCTTTTGTAAATGATCAAGGAATTCCATGCTTCCTAATTAGCAGTTCCTAAGTCCTTATGTAAATCACTGCTGTGTACAGAATAAAGCACTGTGCTTTTTTGCACCGTGTCTAACCAGCTTAGGATCAAGGAGGAGAATCCCTGTGCTCTTGCTGTGTCTTCATGCTTGTGTGTTGAGTGCTGCAGAAGGCTGACCACAGCCCAGTATTTAGTGCACACAGAGCCATGCCCCATTTTTTATGTGTCTAAAATGAACTTGTGTACAGAGCTGCATAGACCCTGAGATAATGGTAAAAACTTTAGCCCTGGAAGCCAAAAGGCATCACTGGGGTACTCAGCATTCAAGGCAGCAGATTTCAAACCCTAGCATATCTGAGAATCACCTAGAACATTGGGAGCACAGGTTCCCCAGGCCTGAGATTCTGATGGTGGAGTATAGGGGCTTTTAGCCCCCACACCTCAGTGATGTAGGTGAGGTAGGGATCGTGAATAGTGTCACAGCTGGCCTACTGTCATCTCGAGGAAATGCATTCACAAGGGGTGGGCCTAGGTACCATGAAAGCCTGGGCTTTGCCTTTCTCAAGATGTAAGAGAACAAGGGTAGGATTTGTGATTTCTTTGTCGCAGGTTTAATATTCAAATAACTGAGCGTTCTCCTCTACCTGGACATGGTAGACTGGACATGGGACTCTGCACATAACACAGTGACAACACAAGCTAGAGTTGTTTGGGAAAAGGGACTCTCAACTGAAAAAAAAAATGCCTCCATAAGATGGGCCTATAGGTTGAACCTGTTCCCCATGCTGAACCTTGCCCAGCCTTGACACAAGGGGAGGAGCTTGGTCCTGCCTCGACTTGATGTGCCATGCTTTGTTTGGGTCCATGGGAGGCCTGACCCTTTCTGAATGGAGACAGAGGAGGAGTGGATGGGGAAGGGGGTAGATGGGATGGGGGGAGGGAACAGGAGGAGAGGAGGGAGGGGAAACTGTGGTCAATATGTAGAATAAATGAAAAAAATGTTATAAAACTTAAATAAGAAAAAGATGGGCCTATAAGCAAGTCTATTTTCTTGATTGATGATTGATATGGGAGAACCTAGTCCACTGTGGGAGGTGCAACCCCTGGGCTGGTGTTACTGGGTGTGATCAGAAAACAGACTGAGCAAGATATGGGGAGCAAGCCAGTAAGCAGCACTGTATGTAGACCAGGCTGGCCTTGAACTCAGAGTTGTCCTGCCTCTGCCATCCATGTCCAGCTTCCTCGGTTTCTATGCCTTTTTTTTACTTTTTAAAGATATGTGAGAAGTTTCACATTTCAAAAGATAACTGGAGATGGGGGAAGAAATGGTGAGTCCATTTTAAACTTCCTTCAGTGTTTAAAAACAAATGAAATTTTTTTTTTTTTACCTCCTGGACAAGGATAAAACTTCAAGCTTCCCTTCCAGCCTCACTACCACCTTCCAATTCAAGGTCATTTCACAGCTCAAGGTCAACCCAGTGGAGTCTCCAGGTGTGAGTGGAGATGCCTCCCTAGCACCTCTGATACTACGGTACAAAACAATGACCTGTAGCTAGTGAAACCCAGAAGCCCATGCATCCACCTTAGACAAACCAGTAGACTCTAGGAGGCTAGAACTGGCTGGAGGCAGGTGTCAGTGCTTTTCGAGTTTCTGTGTCTCCAGCGGGCATCCTGTGCTTCTGTGGCACTGCCCCCCAGGCATCCTGTGCTTCTGTGGCACCCCGCTGCTCTACCTTCTCCCTGCAGCACACTCACGGCTGTGATTTGCATACAAGAAAATGACAGTGCACCTGGCGCCCATTTGACAGTACACAGTCCCTCCCATCCTAGTTAAATTTAGTTCTGATACTAATTGTTCCTGTGCACCCCATGATGGGTGTAATCATACCCAGTGGGAATTCCTTTGACATTGATCTCTGGAGGAAAAAAACAAAACCCAGCTTGGGAACCTGCCATACTGCTTTTACACTGCAGGGCAGTGCCTCCTCAAGTTTGGACCAGTGACAACCTGCCTTCGAAAATCTCATGGGGTGGAGGCAGAGATCCCTGAACACCTTGATCTCTAGGCATAAGTTGAATCAGGACCTGTCGGGGTAAGGTCTAGAATCTGCATTTGTAACCAGCCCCTGGGTGGCCCTGGAGGGTGTATGGATATGGAGGAAGGAGGTTGAGCTGACTTAGGTGATCTGGGACCCATCCTGAGTCATGGTTCTCAGAAGCCCCAGACCTCAGAGAAGCCTTGATTTGCACAGCTGTAATGTAAGAAGAAGATTGAAATGTAGTCTGTTAAGATGCACCCTCCCTGGTACTGGAATCACATGTCAAAGGCCCCTATTATGGGCTCAGGATCGTGAGAGTCTAGGCCTTGGAATTAGCATGACTGTATTGTTAGGAATAAAGAGTTGCCAGTTCAGCTTGGAACTCCACAGAAAAGACCCTGATATTGGCAATGGCAGTCTGGTTCCTCCAGGCAGAGCTCAAGACATACTTGCTGAGGGCTTCCTTGGGGCCACAGGCCTTGGGCATCATTCCAAAAGGATCTAGAGGCCCAGGAGAGCCTGGGTAAAAAGCCAACTGCCTTTTCACTACTTGAGGCCTGGAAAGTGTGGCTGTGATTTTGACTCCATCAAAAGAAAGAGGAAAGAGCGCTAATGAGAAGTATGAATCTGAACTTATTTCTCAAGCTCTTGTGTTATTCGGGATGACACTGTTCCTGGGTGAATGCACGCTGGCCAGCACCATGCTCAGGAAAAATTGTCTGCCTTCTCTTCTTCACAGAGAAGGTGTGAAGGACAAAAAGAGATGACAGTGTGACAGTGTCTCTCAAATCATAAGCCTTGCTTTGGTTTCTTTTCTGTTGCTGTAATAAAATACTAGGACAAAAGTAATGGGAGGGACGGAGGGAGGGAGGGTGTATTTAGCTCAAAGTTCAAGGTACAGTCCAGCATCTAGAAGTAGCTCGTCACACCATGTCCAAGGTAAAGAGGCCCAGGATCTAATGCACAAAACGGTGCTACCCACAATTAAGATGAGTCCTCCCACGCCAGCTGACTTAAGAGAATCCCCCAAAGGTTTGCTGAGTCCCATCTCCCGGGTGATACTAGGTTTTGTCAAATTGTCAATTAACACTAATTATTACAAGCATTTGTATAAATTACTTTTCCCGTGACTCAGCAGAAATTAGTAAATAACTGACGTGATCAAACCAACAGAAGCATCTCATCCAACTTATTCTTGCCTGTAACTGCTTTTTGGTGTTGTTTGTAACATTACAGTTATAGGCAAACCATATGCTTAATGATTCAGATGACAAATATTTATTGAACACCTATTAATACTACATGCTAGGTGAATGTTGAGTAACAGAAACCTTTGTGGTCTCTTGGAATTAACGGCTTGGAGGTAATATCCAAATGATCAGGACAATCATTAGACTATTAACTAAAGATCCCCCAAATAAAATTAAAGAAATTAAAAAGAAAATGAGGGACTTTTCACCCTTTATCATACACAATGCTTCTGTAAGGCAAGTTTCATTCATCAAATCTCATTTTCTCACTGAGACCCATAGATAATCAAATAGAATATGCAACCTGGGGCTGGGGAGACGGCTTGGTTGATGAAGAGCTTCCACACAGGCATGGGAACTTGAGTTTGTATCTCTAGCACCCACAGGAAAAAGTGGACGTGAAGGTATGTGCCTGTAAGCACAGCGCTAGGGAAGCAGAACCAAAAGGATCCCTGGGCTTGTTGACCAACTAGTCCAGGCAACATGATGAAGACCCTATCTCCAAAAACAAGGTAGAAACCAAAAAAGGAAGACACTGATGTCAACATCTGGCCTCTACATGCACAGAGAGAGAGAGAGAGAGAGAGAGAGAGAGAGAGAGAGAGAGAGAGAGAGAGAGACAGAGAGACAGAGAGAGAGACAGAGAGAGAGAGAGACAGAGAGAGAGAGAGAGAGAGAGAGAGAGAGAGAGAGAGAGAGAGAGAGAGAGAGAGAGAGAGAGAGAGAGAGAGAAGAAGGGACAAATTATAAAAGCACAGATTGTTTCAAATCAAGCTATTTTGGGGTGGCCCTCCCTCTGCCTTTTAACTAAAGGTTAACTAGAGGTGGCTTTGAAGAGAGATATCTTTCATGTAAAATAAAGTTAAAAGATGTAAGACTGGATTTGAAAGGATGAAGAGAACCACCAGATATTGAAAGCAATGCGTCTTCAAGGTGAGTGACAGCCAGGCTGGGTTTGAGTCTGGCTTTGGCAATAGACGGTCTGCTGACCAGCATCTTCTGAGATAATTTTTGCAATCTCTTGCTCATAGATGCTGCTATCGATTTCTTTTAAATGTTTTAAGGTATTGATTTATTTTAAATGTTTCCAGCGTGATTTTGTAGAGCTGGTAACTGTTTTCATGCTTCTTATCGACTGTGTTTGCTTTTTATTTATGCCTTAAGGCATATGACTAAGAAGGGCATCGTTTCCTAAATTGAAATAAGAGGGAGATAAGTGGCAGATACTCAGAGCAATCCTAGCCTGAGCCACTGAGGTGAAAATGACTTCCTTCCTGCAGCAATTTATATCTCTGAAGGAGAAGCATGCAGTCTGATCTGTACCTTTAAAATATGTATTTCCCCCCCCTGGGTGAGACAGTTCTTTCCCTTGCCAGTATAGCTCTGCCACCTATGACTCTATTTTTCAGATTCAAATCTATCTACTCACAGATACCCTCTGCTACTGTTGCCCTCACCCACTGCATACCTGCTTACCCTCATAGAGCAGACCTAGAAGCATCATTGCTGAGTAATCTATCAACCTAGCACTACTGTGTCCTGGATACAAGGGCAACTCAGACTTGCATTTACTCTGCAGAGAAGCAACGGGGACTTGGGGCTTCAAAACAAATGGGAAATGGGAGCTTTGCTTGCTCCTCATCACAAAGCTACTGTCTTTCTGTGCAGTCAGTAAAGACTAGAGGATTCAGGTGAGTAACACAGCAGTAAAACGCTGGCTAGAATCAACCTTTCTCCCGTGTTTTATTATGGTTAATAGATACAAGAGTTACCATCTTAAGCATTCTAAGTGTACGTTTCCCTGCTGTCAAATGCATCCTATAATGCCGGGCAGCCCTCACCATCCATCCCCAGAACTCATCTCATAAAACTAAAATTCTGTTCCCATTAAATACAGGTCCCCACTCCCTCCTCCTCACGGCTACTGGAAACCAACAAGAATCAATGCTTTAAATGGGGGGAAGGCAGTTAGTAATTCATGGTATGTGTAATTGCTTCCTATAGTCTGAAGAAATTAAAAATAAAAATTATAAACCCCTTAAATGACACAGGAATGTTGGAATAATGCATGACAGAAGAAATCCATGAAAATCGATCTGCATTTTTAATGCAGATTTTTTAAACACAGGGAAAATAAGGAAAGGATATGCAAGCAATATTTTCTTTTGTATACATTTCTGTAAGTTTCTTTTTTTGTATTTGTGCATTTGTATGTGTGCAGATGCACCAGCATGCTTGCATGTGTGTGTGGGGTGGGGTGGGGGTGGGCAGGGATTGAACTAGGGTGTCTTTCTCTGTGCTCTCTGGGAAGGGGGTCTCCTACTGATCTTGGAGGTCAGTAATTTGGCTAAACTGACTGAAGAATGAACTCTTGCAGCTCCTGCTCCACTCCCTGCGCTGGGGTTACAGGTGCACACCACCATGCCTGGCTTTTGGGTGGATGTTGGGGATCCAGACTCAAGCCCCCATTTTTGTGAGGCATATACTTTAATAATGGAGTCATCTCCAAGCCCCTAATTTCCTAAGTTTCTACATGATATTGTCATTAATTTTAGTGTAAGGAAAACTTGAACTCATATGTACTGTTTGAGAAGAAGTGATTGTGTTCCACGTTTTACTCGTAAACAACCACTTGGCAGAAGAGGCATGGCTTCCCATCACTTCTCTCTCCTTGATGTGGTTTGGAAGGGAAGTGATCAGTCTTGTACAGGCTCTCAAGAGAGGCTGAGAGTTAGGGTCTAACCCAGGCAGGAGAATCTGCTGGAGTGCGTTTCACCACTTGGCAGTGGCCTTACGACACACACAGGACAAGCTTTCAAAGCTCTTGGTGAGGAGGAATATTAGAAAGTCACACTATTAGATGATCCAGGCAATTCCAAAGCAGATGTTGAGAAGGTGTGACTTCTAGAACATGACTCAGTCACAGAGAGCAACTGTGACTCTCTCCCTCCCTCCCTCCCTCCTCTCTCTCTCTCTCTCTCTCTCTCCTCTCTCTCTCTCTCTCTCTCATCTCTCTCTCTCTCTCTCTCTCTGTCTCTCTCTCTTTCCTCCCTCTCCTTCTCCCTCTGTGTGTGTGTGTGTGTGTGTGTGAGAGAGAGAGAGAGAGACAGAGAGAGAGAGAGACAGAGAGAGACAGAGAGAGACAGAGAGGATACAGAGATTTGGCCACATGGCCCCAAAGATCTGCATCATAATTAACAACCAAACACTGACTAGTGTTGACATCAATAGGACAGTACTGGAATTTTCCAGCTCAATGTGGAGAATAGAAAGGAATTATGGTCAGCTCGAACATGAACATATTCTTCCTTTCTGCAGTGCTGAGAATGGAACCCAGGGCCATGTGTGTGCTATGCAAAAGTTTTAGAATTGTGCTGTATCTCTAGCCCTACATTCTTTCTTTTAAAAGTATTAATCCATCTCAGCAGTACCCCCATCCTTTCCAGACTCAACTCTTCCTTCCCCATCCTCTGTTTCCAGTGACCACAGCTCCTCCTGTGGTCCACAGCTCCTCCTGCTTACCCCTACCTGTTTCTACCATGTGTACTTGCTCTGCTCCCAGGGAACAAATCAAGCCCATCAAGGCATGTTGAAGTTTTGTCACAGTAAACATGCTGTGCCCCTCTAGAACAGGCTTTGAATGCCAACAACTACATCTCACATCTTGGGGGCCATAATAGCATCTACACTGGTTAGTTTTTGTTAATGACACACACCAGAGCCATATGAGAAGTGGGAATCTCAATTGAGAAAATGCCCCCATCATATTGGCCTATGGGTGTATCTGTCAGGCATTTTCTTGATCAATGATTGATGTGGGAGGGCCCAGCCCACTATGAGCCCAGGTGGGCCTGGGCTGTGTAAGAAAGCAGGCTGAGTGAAGCAGGGGAGCAAGCCAGTAAGTAGCATTCCTCCATGTCTCTGAGTCAGTTCCTGCCTCTAGGTTTCTGCCTTGAACTCCTGCCCTGGCTCCTCTTGATGATGAACTGTATGCCAAATAAACTCTTTCCTCCCCAAGTTGGTTTTGTCACAGCAACAGAAACCAAACTAGAATAGCATCCTTTATCTTGGGAGACTGGGGCCAGGGATCCCTAGATGAGCTGTAGATCTTAACTAAATGCGGAGTTAAATAAAACACACACATTTTTTTTTTGAGAAAAAAACCAGACATATTTACCATTTAACTCTGTTATAAGAAAATATTTATAAGACACGGCAGGTGAGCTCTCCTGTGGGGCAGACCTCCAAAGCCAAGGAGGAAATGAGAGCTCTGGGTCCTAGGCTTAGGCGCTTCAAGATTTGCATGTGTGAAGTGCATGGATCTACATGGAAGCTTCATTTTGGCTTCTGGACAAAGGGCTCAACATCAGGACTCCCATTGTGGGCCAACAGAAGCATCAAACGAGCCAACCAGTTGAACAGACCCTGACATATCAATGTTAACCACTGTGTGCAGAGTTCTTTACCCTCTGGTTTGAATCGCTTCATTATGCAAACATGACTTCTAATTTTTGTTTCTATTTCACACTGCTGACATTTTTTTCAGTTAAAACACCTGTACTAGCTTGTTATATTTCAAAGTACTTCCTCCTGACCTTCAGGAGGCTGCGTGGCATGATAGTCTGGATCCCCTCTCCTACTTTCAAATGGAGGTAGACTGTCATACTCTTCTCTGGTACTGCAAACTTACAAATTGTTGAAGACTATAGAAGAGTTACTTTAAAATGTACATATATATTCTATAGTTTCCTGTAAAATTCCTAATCACGTGTGGTTGGATTTTTCAGGATTCATGAACTCAACATTTGATTAAAGAAAACAAACCACAAACTTATCTCTAGCAGGCCAGCAATCGTGTTTTATAGTCCAACAACACCTTTTGCTGACCAGTCTAGAAGTCACAAACGTATGTTACCTTGGCGAAGTCCAACTTCCTCTCTGTAACATCAGACTGGAGATTTTTAAGGGCGATTTGATCATTTGTACTATAGCGCGTGTCCAGTAATCCTAGATGAAAGGAGATGACACGGCTACTTTTAGTACACCAAAGGATAAAATAGAATGCACAACTTCAATTTTACTATCAAATTGAATGTCCCCCACTCACACAATACAGCAGCCAATAGCAGCTCCAGCATATTACAAGCCGTTACAAAACCTGTGTCCTGCCTTCACTGTTCCAGTCACTTCTGCTCTCAGAGCTCATTATTATTGATTCGGGTACAAGAGTCCTTTCCCCTACAGTTGTTTCTATTCTTCAGATTCAGTAAGTAGTTGGCCAGATGTGGCTCTAATCATGTTTCCATTGTCTCAAGTTTACAGTCAGAGAGAGAGAAAACCACATTTCTACATTTCGTGCCACCTCTAGCATCAAGGCATAAATACCGGACTGACTTTGGCCAGTTTCTCAATGCAACCATAACTAGAGGGACAGTGGGTGACCAGGAACTGGCTGTCTAGCCACCTTAGAGAGTGTGAGAGTGTGAAGATATTTTAGGGATGACATAAGGAGTTTTTGCTGTAAAGACAACTGAGGCTGTGGTAAGGACTGGATGTAGATAAGGATAGATACATGAACAAAACTTCTCTTGGCTTAAGCTTCCTGATGGATGGAACCTGCCCTGCCTGACTCCTGAAACTCCAAGCAGAGGTGCTTTTGTGAAAAGCATCTTTGGATGGAAGCAAGGAGCTTCTTAAAGCTAACCTGTGTCCTGAGGCAGAATTGAGACAAGTTTAGCTGAGGGTCCACAGTGACAGCAACAGACCCTGAGATCTCTCACAGTAATATTGCCAGGATGTTCTTACAGAAATGTGAGTCAGACATAGGAAAAGCTGGCTGGAGGAGCCTGTGCAAGAATAGCCAGAGATCTATTCTCTTCAGACCAGAGGCAAATCTTTGTCTCTCTAAACCACATTCTTTAGAATGTGACTTTTCAAAACACTGCAATGGATGATGATGGTCCTAGAGATTAAAAATGTCAAAAACAGGCTCTCTAAACTTTATATGCTATGTCAGAATTCTAGAATATGGTAGAATTAGGGTGGGGGGTGAGGACTCCATCTCCAGTACCATAAAAAGGATTCCCTGCTTATTTAGATAAAGGTTAAAGCATTTTTTTGGAGAAAATCATATACCACAGTACTGTCAAGTTTGGCAGATTTGTGAAGGGGCCAGGATTTGACTCTGGGGGTTTTCAAGGGTCACCTCTAACCCACCCAAATCATACCTCCATTACATCTGTCTTTGAGTGACAATGAACTTCCATCACATTCTGACTTGGGCTGTGACTCCATCTATGACTGTCACTGAATGACAGAGGGTCATTCAAGGTGATGTGCACTGATTACTTTCCATGAAGCACTACTATTAGACCTGAAGAGCCTGGTGTTCCTGTAAAATGTTGATGCTTCATGATGATCTGACAGCAATGAAGACAGAAGTCACCTGGCCTGCTTGTGTAATGTGGCATGGGAGTGAGGACTTTTGAATCAGCACAGTCTTGAAAACCAGATGGGTTATCATCTTCTCTGGTTTGGCCCTAGCTGACCCTCAGTGAATCAGCTGTGGACCCTGCCTTCGTCCATAAATGCAGACAATGGTATCTCCTACAGAAACACAGGCCTTGCCCTCGCTGCCCTGGGAGATCCTCATCAAAGCATTTGGGTGAGGATGGAATATCAGGTTAATATGCCATAAATGGCAGAGGGTGCCATTGTTACAGCCCAGGTCGAGGCAGTTCTTGCCAAAGTCCAGCATCACTAATGTGGTAGAATCAGTGGTCAGGCAGCCACTAAAATTGCACCACAGAGTCCCAGGTCTTGGATCACAGCTCTGAATACATGGACTGCTGTGGGATGGTCTGTATGTCAAGTGTGTTGCTGATTGGTCAATAGATAAAACACTGATTGGCCAGTGGCTAGGCAGGAAGTATAGGCGGAACAAGGAGGAGAATAAAGCTGGGAAGTGGAAGGCTGAGTCAGAGACACTGCCAGCCACCACGATGACAAACAACATGTGAAGATGCCAGTAAGCCACGAGCCATGTGGCAAGGTATAGATTTATAGAAATGGATTAATTCAAACTGTAAGAACAGTTAGCAAGAAGCCTGCCACGGCCATACAGTTTGTAACCAATATAAGTCTCTGTGTTTACTTGGTTTGGTCTGAGCGGTTGTGGGACTGGCAGGTGAGAGAGATTTGCCCTGACCGTGGGCCAGGCAGGAAAATTCTAGCTACACATGGATAACTTTGAACACATTGCCTGGCATACCCTGGTTCCTCCCTGTGTGATGGAGAATATGGAGGTGGCTACTTCACAGGGTTACTAGGAACATTTGAGTGACAGAACTAAGTTGATTTCAGTGCAGTGTGCAGAATGTAATATCATATCATAGTAAGCACGTTTCTAGTGGGGAAAAGGGAAGGCTGCTGGGATTGGGAAGCATGAGTGATTGAGTAAGTATGAGCTTCCTATGCCTGCTGTAAAAAATGACCACAGGACAAATGAATCCTCTACAGTTGTGGAAGTCAAGTCCAACACTGGGCTAAAATCAAATGAGCAGCCCAGCGTTGCTTTCTGAGGATGCTGGGTGGTGGGGATTACTGTCCTTGATCCCAGGATTTCTGCTACACACTGTCCATATTCCTTAACCTGAGCCCGCCTCCCTCCGGCCTCTGTGCTGGCTGCTGCTCCTTCTCCTTGTCTCTGCCCTACTCAGTGTTTCCCTTGAACAAGGGTTCCTGTACTAGACGTGAGCCCACCTGGACAATGCAAGGTGCTGTCTTCATCTCAAGGATGGATCAGAACAGGGACACATTCTGGGGTATCCTGTTTCCTGTACCACAATAATTGGGGAGATTCAGGTAGAGAGACTGGGGAACCTTCAAATATGCATACTAAGTCTATGTAACAACACAGAAAAACACAAGGACACACTATGGAAAAGAACCAAAAGCCTATGGAACATGTGACTGTGACATTAATACAGTGCATGAGGCAACCTACAAAGACAGTACAGTGACTCATGGAGAAATGGCCTTGGGTGAAAAGAATGGCCTAGGTTGTGGGGCCTGACCAACCGAAGGGTTCATGCCCCATTAGGCTTTGTGTTTCAAGACTCACAGCTGAGGTATCAATTGTAGTCATGTGACTGCACGCAACTTTTATTGCCTCACTGCTTCTGTTCTCTCTATCTACAAAGTCAGAATAGGGGGCTGATGCTGCTGAGCCCTCATAGTCCCCTTTGCTGGGTTTCTACTCCATCCCTTTGCTGGACTGCTACTCCATTCCTTTGCTGGACTGCTACTCCATCCCTTTGCTGGACTGCTACTCCATCCCTTTGCTGGACTGCTACTTCATCCCTTTGCTGGACTGCTACTCCATCCCTTTGCTGGACTGCTACTCCATCCCTTTGCTGGACTGCTACTCCATCCCTTCGCTCAGGTCCCCTTCTGCTGAGTGCCCTTCACTTGCCTGTGGATCATCTCTTAGAGAATGCTCTATCTACTCTTGAGTGCCCTTAACCTCTGTCTCCATGCTTTGGTTTTTTGGGGAAAAGCTATGATGGCTAGTCATCCCTTAATTCTATCCCAGAGCAGAGTTTCTCCAAGTGTGCTCCTCCAACAACAGGGCCAGCATTAGAGCAATTGATAAGGAACATCTGTTCTGGGGGTACCACCCCCAGATCCACCAAATGAGGACCCTATTGGGGAGCTTAGACTTCCATCCATGCTTCAGCCGGTTTTCCAGCACACTTGAGGTAGCTCAAGTATAACATGGTCTTAGACTAACAACATCCCTTAATAGATGATAAGTCTGATGACCTAGAAGGGAACCATGATGTTTTGATTTTAAAATGACCCTGTGACTTGCAAGGATCTGTGCCCCACCTCTGTGCATGGGGATAAAACGGGGCTTCAATTAGTATAAACCTACTGCAACCATCAGCCAGCTGATATTTATGATGCAGCTAGTTAAAATCATCCAATGATCTACAATCACCTTTGGTGATGCATGGTATTCAGTGGTCTGGTCCTTTGTGATCAGGCAGTTTGTCTACTCACTGACTCACTAGCATATGCCAGGAGGTGATCTCTCCTGAGTCTGTTGGAAGAATCACACTTGTATCTCAACTCAGCCTGAGCCACATACCCAAAGCTGATCTACCACTTGATCTCTCTCCAAGAGGCCACAGCAGGCTGAGCCAATACCAACAAACTAAGCCATCCTGCCAGAGACAGGCCCTGGGCTGAGCAGCAGAGGTGGGAGGGATGCCCTCCCCTCCAAAGAACATCAAGGCAATGTCATGGACTTGTTGTCATGGGCCTCAAAATGCCACAGGAAGCTCTTCCAGTTGAGAGGACAAGGAAATGTTTAGGATACAAGAAGTGACCTCACCAGGTATGGCATGCCTTAGTGACTTTCCTTATTGCTGTGGCAAAATAATGACAAAAGGAACTAAGGAAGGTTTGTTCTGGCTCATAGCCATAAGGTACAGTCTATCATGGTGCATCAGGGAGAGGGATCCTAGCTGGGGAAGGGCTGGCCACACTGAGACATGCTGTCCACTGTCGGAAAACAGAGATTAATGCTTATGGCTCAGCTCACTTTCTCCTTTGTCTCTTTTTATTGAGTCTAGAACCCCAGGCCATGGGATGGTGCTGCCCATGTTCAGGGGGTCTTCTGACCTCAGTTAAATCTCTTTGGAAACACTTCCACATCCAAAGGTGTGTCTCCTAGGTGATTCTGAATTAGGTCAAGATGACCAGGAAGATTATCATAGGAGAATGGAAACAAAAAAAAGTGGGAATGGGTGGGGAGAAAGCTTCATAACCAAGCAGAAAACAAAAGGAAGGGGGAAAGCAGAGAAAGGTGAAGAATAGGGACAAGAGCTAGTCACACTCTGATGGCTCACAGGATGTACATACAGAATAATAAATTCCCACACGTTGTCCAACACCACTCGAGGTGTCCCTACAAACAGCCGACAAGAGCCATTATGTAAAGC